TGAAATCACTGTGTACAAGGACTGTACGTTTGATGTCGAAACACTGGTCCGATCCGCATCTAGTTAATTTCTCACTATTTGGTCAAGAAAAATGAAAATAGCATGTTTATGAGAAGTTGTTAATTAAAAATCCTCATTAAGAGACACTGTTCTAATCATAGTCATTATATCTTATGTCATTTCATTGTAAACCACTCAGTGTATTGTCTTAACACAACTGTACTTGTAGCATTCAACTGCACGAAACGCTAGTTTGGAAATCATTTAATATGTTTTTGATAGGGTAAGAAGAGATAAATCTTGAGTTCGGTTGTGAGTTTAAAAATTACTCTTTTTCCACAATTGGCAGTAATGTCCCAATCTGATTGGGCAATTTACTGCTGCCGATTAAGGTATAGACAACACAACTCGCGTCAACGTGTAATGCAACGGGTCACGCACTAAAAGAATCGTTTCATTTGAGGTCGACGTTGGAGCTGGGAAAAAAAAAAAAAAAAACGATAACAAATCGGCAGGGGTTTAGCGTGGTCTTTACCCCCATCAACCACGACATTCGTCATAACAGTGGTCAAAATTTGGTGCGGCATCCCGTGAGTCTACAACATTTTGATCACTGTGATGATGAATATCGTTGTAGATTAGAGCACAGACCACGCTAAACCATTGTTAATTTGTTGAATTCAGTTGCGTTTGTCACGAGCGTTCAGAGAAAGAAAACTCTTGGGCAATAATGAGATTGACAGGGTGTGCATCTGTCAGTTTGTTACTCTAAATCAAATCCAAATTTTCGTAGTCAATGAGAAACCGTACCGTAAGCAGAATTTGAAAACAAATACGTCAACTAAGCAAGATGAGAAAATTATTGCAACGAGGGCTATTTCGCTGTATACTTCAAGTAAAAAAATGGGATTTCTTCGGGAGTTCGAGACATTGCGGTCAACATGAGAGCCGAGAGCTTCCTTATGTACAAGCAAACAAGTAAATATTAACGCCGTAGGCCTTTACTGAAGAGAAAAGTCAACTGCATTGGTGGTGAACGCATTGCCATGCATTCATCAACCTGACAGAGTGGTGCAAAATGTAAATGAGGCGTCAGTAGCTTATTACCGAGGTCAAACACAAAGAAAAAGTTATCGTAATTTTATATGTGTCAGGTGCAGTTACGACTTTTCTCAGGGCTGGAAAATCATTTGAAATACCGCAGTTTACGAAACAAAACTTTCAGTAAATCAGCTTTTTCTTTCCCTAATATTTCTCTAAAATTGCTATTCCTTTTGCATCTGTTAATTTTTATTTCTTTCTTGCACAGCTGTTTAATTTATTATCAAGTTTGCCCATCTTTTCAGCCAGATGTGTATGATATCAATGTTTCGCATCTGGGCCTCTATGGTTCCTTAAGATTACAAATTAGTAAATAACAAGAACACGCAGATAACCAGATTGATTAACTAGTCGATCCATTCCTCAAAAACTCCATTGGTCAAAACAAAACAAAAAAAGGAAAATTAGACCTTCACACCCTGACAAAAGTACGCATATTCTTCATAGCGTTCTCTAGAAATTTTCTAAGGTGCTGACAAGGAGAATTTGTTTAACAATCCGAAGTTTCGTTATTCAGTGATTATTCCCCCTGATTTTGTGACCCCTAGGGGGGATGAAGCGAAGATGAATCAGATGCTAGTCGTTCTCATGGATTAAGGATTTAATAATTGTGTGAATATATACTTTATTATAAAAGTAATGCGTCCATTGATTTATTTGCTACTAAATTAAAAGGTAAATATTCAAAATGATTTAGAAAGCAAAAAAAGACGCATTGTTCATGCAAACGATTGTAAGACATCACCTTGGACGAACGTAGATCCTTTCCATACCAATTATGCCATTAAAAAAATTACCCCGGAAAGGACAACTTCCAATAATAATATGATATTCATAAAAAAAAGTATCAAGGAGTATTTATTTTTATTACGAAGTGCGCTTTTTGCAAAATGATACCAACTGATAAGCATTTCGCATTACTATTAGTTCTCCACATTATATTATTGATGCTGTATTACAGTTCATTCCTTACACCGAGAAGATCTAACTGTAATAATACCGATTCTCATTACATGAAACATAAAACTAAGTACCATGAAGTATTTTACACAGATTAACGATATGCAATTGAAATGAAAGGCTAGTCCTCTATCCCAACCCGACACTAATTTCCTTCCTATAGCCTGGATATACTTAAAAGACTTGAAATATAATTGGACCTTAGAAGCCCAAGATAAAAATCTGTCTTAATTTCAGTGCCTTCAGGTTTATTTTTTTCAATTTCATTTCATTTTATTTCACGGTGTAAGTACCTCCCACTGTCCCTCATAAACCCTTGCACATTTTTTTTAAGAATGTGCAGTCCGGGTCATCCATTCCATAGCCATTTCTGGATACTTGATGACGTCACCAATATAGGTGTCGTGGTGGGACCTCGAGGAAACCCATTAATTACTTTATTCGAGCCCTAGCGACTTTGTTCCTTGGCCATATCCTATGAAACTTTGCAAAAATACTGAAGACAAACTATTATACACATCGAGCTAAGAATTGATGGCGGCCACGATGACGAGACAGAAAAATTCAGATGAAAAGTCGGGTGGAGGTGCTTGTTGCGAAGTGCTCGATTGACGAGTAACCTCTCTTTAGTTGAGGTTTTCAGGTATATAACATTTTTTTGGATTCCTGACAAAAATCTTTTTAAAAACTAGAATAAATTTGCTTCCAATCTGTCTAAATTTTAATCGAGTGCACGAGGTTTTTGTTCGTGTGCACGAGGTTTTTGTTCGAGTGCACGAGGCTTTTGTTCGAGTGCACGGATGTTGAAAGCTAGTCTTTTATTGTGCAAACTACTAGGCGGATTCCCTTTGTCCAGATCCATCGCCGGAGTATCGCGTAAGCCATAAATTTTAACCATACGTTGTGGCCGGGCAATTTAGAATAAAAGGATAATTACTTATTGGACCTTATCAAGCTTATAATTTGGATATATCAACAAAAGTTGAAATGGTAAATTGGCCACCGTAATGATTACAAAAGCTGACGTTTCGAGCCTTAGCCCTTCGAGCGTTAGCCCTTCGCTCCGACTGATGAGTGTGAAATTTTCGTCTACAAGCATGAGAGGGACTTGTCTGTAATTGCAAAACTTGTTTGAAAACACTGAATCCACTGTACTCTTCCAGAATGCGAGGACGTAGAGGGCATGCATGTTGAATGTTTGAAATAAATGAATCGTTTTAATGATATCTTACGTCCAGTCCTTACTTGCGAATTCTGTTTCGGCTTACTACCATCTTAAGACATGGCCGCCACAAAAATAGAAAAATTCAACTTCCTCTTGTTGCCAGTACCTCTCGGCCAAATTTGCTTTGTTTTAGTTTTGATCTCACCCAATCACGAAGCTCGAAACCGATATCTAGAAATGGTTATGGCCCGAACTGGTGTGAGGACTAATGGGACGTACTCAAAGTATACGCGTGGTTTTTGTCCTGTTATGGACGTTAGGTTAACAGAATATAAACGTTTGTTGTGTGACAATTCTGCCTCGATATAATGATATCCAACAGACTTCTTTAGCTTAATATCTTTGAGACGTCTTTCTTTTCAATTCCGTCTTATTAAGGGCATTTGAACACAATTCACAGAAACAAAAGGGGGGTTTTCCTTAAGACCCCATAGGGAGAAAAACATATTTAAGCTAAACTTTCTTAACTTGACCAATGTCATAACGTTGTGAAAAACTTCGCTTAAAGTGCACCTAAACCCAAAAACTTTTTTCGCTTAACGAAATAAGCGTTTTTTTTTTGGAGTATCTCTGTACAAAATTTTTTTAATTTGCTCAAATCTTTAATTTTCTATGCCCAGTCGAAATATGGAAAATCGGCCGCCATCTTGCCCCACGACCGAGTTTAAAGATGAATGGCTCTAGCGGGTAATGTGACGTCAAATCGAGAACACGAAAGTCTGCATTTCACACATTTTCACTTGTTTGGGAAGTTTGTAATCGTTACGGTGGACAATTTACCATTTCAACTTTGTTGANAGAAATGGTTATGGCCCGAACTGGTGTGAGGACTAATGGGACGTACTCAAAGTATACGCGTGGTTTTTGTCCTGTTATGGACGTTAGGTTAACAGAATATAAACGTTTGTTGTGTGACAATTCTGCCTCGATATAATGATATCCAACAGACTTCTTTAGCTTAATATCTTTGAGACGTCTTTCTTTTCAATTCCGTCTTATTAAGGGCATTTGAACACAATTCACAGAAACAAAAGGGGGGTTTTCCTTAAGACCCCATAGGGAGAAAAACATATTTAAGCTAAACTTTCTTAACTTGACCAATGTCATAACGTTGTGAAAAACTTCGCTTAAAGTGCACCTAAACCCAAAAACTTTTTTCGCTTAACGAAATAAGCGTTTTTTTTTTGGAGTATCTCTGTACAAAATTTTTTTAATTTGCTCAAATCTTTAATTTTCTATGCCCAGTCGAAATATGGAAAATCGGCCGCCATCTTGCCCCACGACCGAGTTTAAAGATGAATGGCTCTAGCGGGTAATGTGACGTCAAATCGAGAACACGAAAGTCTGCATTTCACACATTTTCACTTGTTTGGGAAGTTTGTAGTCGATATTGTCCGAAAATATGCCAACTGAGTGTGTTGTAGAAGGATGTAGTAACGTGCAAAATTTGCAAGAGGGTATCGCGCTTCATACATTCTTCATACAATACACCTAGTCGGCATACTTGGAACAATATCGAAGACAACCTCCCCAAACAAGTGAAAATGTGTGAAATGTAGACTTTCATGTTCTCGATTTGACGTCACATTATCCGCTAGAGCCATTCCTCTTTAAACTCGGTCGTGGGGCAGTATGGCGGCCGATTTTCCGTATTTCGACTGGGCACAGAAAATTAAAGATTTGAGCAAATTAAAAAAATTTTGTACAGAAATACTCCAAAAAATAAGTTTATTTCGTTAAGCGAAAAAAAAAAAAGTTTTGGGTTTAGGTGCACTTTAAAGTTAAGATTTTCCACACTCTCTACGTCAGTTTTCACATTTCTTACACCAGGTTTGTGTTTTCTTTGTTCATTAAGTACTTGGTTTGTTGTCCAAATTTGGTCCGGAAAAAAAAGACAGTGGTATTTTCCAAGTTAAAAAAGACGTCTTTAGGATAATTGGTTTAAAAATATTTCCATGCACTTAAGATGAGTTAGATTTAAGTAAAGTTCACTTAAGGAATTTTTGTTAAACTTGGATTGGACCTCAGTCAAAATTTCATCTAAATAGTTTTACGTTCATCGAAGTAAACCCTCCTCGAAAATTCACTCTTTCTTGGAGGGACCCGTGACATCTATTTGGACACGCTTTTTCGGTGAGTATAGGACATTTCTTGTGTCTTTGAAGATAAATCGAGATTCATGAGCCCAAACATGTCTTCAAATTAAAAATGCCGTAGTAATTGAAGAAAAAACCTCGTGGTACAAATTTGTGTACCTCTCAGTGAACTTTGACCTTTTGCTCTAGAAGAAACACGATTAACAAACCCATCACTAATAGAAGCAAAGCAAACTCTATCCTTATTTTAGGTAGTGTTACGTCATCAGTACTGACTGAAGGAGGTTTTTCAGATTCGGAAAACTCGATACGCCTAATTCTTGCCTGATTCTGAAGGTCACTGCCACTGTTTACGGGGTGGATTTTCAGAAGCTGGAGGGAAACTTTTTTACAAGGTCGAATATCATGGGAAATTGAACTTAGATCCTTTAGATGCTCCTCAAATTGTCTTCTCTTACGCAAGAATTCCACTTTCTTTTCGCCACTATGGCTACAGCTGGTGAAACTTTCTTTAACAGTCTCTACTTTGCTTACTGACAAAAGTAGAGCCTCCCTTTTCTCTTTCAGGTCATTGACAAGAGCTGTAGACATTTCATTCACCTCTTCCTTCAGTCTTTCCCTTGCACTATCCAATTGTGAAATTTTACTATCGATGAAGCTGTCAACTTGTTTCTTGACCTCCAAAAAGTTTTGTGGCAATGCTTCTTCGATACCCTCTATAGAAGTAATTTCTGCTTTAAGTGCAGACATCTGCGGTTTTGCTTCTTCCAACAGTTTTCCTATCTTTTTTTTCTCACGAGAAAATACTCCACTCAAAGGTTGATTCAAGTGGGAACGGTGGTCTATCACTGTACATGCTCTGCATATCGGTTTATCGCATGAGCAATAAAGATCTACTGGTTCTTCCACGTGTTTCTCACAATTAACTTGCGCATCAAGTTGGGCGTCATTGTTAACTTCCAAGAGCTGCTTGATTAGGAAATTGGAAGGAAGATTTTCGACACCACCTTGTTGCAGCTAGAAAAAAAAATTAACCTCTAATTTCATACATTGTTTGCTCTTCTTTCTTTCTTTCGTCTTCATAATGGAAGCTAATTTCCTTACTTTCCCAATTACTTCTTAACATCAAGGTCTAAACGTTGTCCTAAAATATTCTTCCATGCGTATTGAATTAAATGTTTACGGTAAGAATACAACGGCTTTGTTTAAGTGCAGTAGCCCTTTGATGTGACGATGGTGCTGAAAAGTTACCCCCAATCCTCATTTACACCGCAGTTTGTTTCATTACATTTTCTAAGTGCCCCGTCGTAATATAATGAATTTGTGTATATATATATATATACACAAATATATATATAAAATATATATATATGTATGTATGTATGTATGTATGTATATATATATTATAGTGAATTTGTGTATGTGTATATATATATATATATTTCTTGGTTATAGTCTATCCTTGCAGTAGAGTGCTCGATGCGTTCGCAGAGTGAGGTATATCTGAATATTGGACAAATCAGTAAGACAAATGTTTTTTTCATGAATGTAAATTTACCGCCACGCTTATTATGCAAATTTTATGGGACATAAATATGTATATGTATGAAATTCAGATATATATTTTCCGACAACTTATTTAGCTCGCGCGCGATTGGTCAAAGCACATCACATGGTCGAGTACAACCCAACTTGAATGGGGGATATTCCTAGATAAACAATTTCCAAAATTCCCCAATTTCCAAAACTTTCGTACAATACTGAGACTGCTTTAAAATTTAATTCAAGACGAGAAAGCGTCGTGCGGTTGTTACAGAAAAAGTACACCTTTTTTGTTCATAAAATTTTATCCTGAGCGTTGAAAAATATTTGAAGGATAATAGACACAACAGCCCCCATGTGATGCAAAAATATGCTCGAAGCTTACATGCAGTTCTCCTTGAGCCTCGCCCTTGGAAACTGACTGCATCTCGGAACAGATAATTAAAGTGGCCTCGAATAAATATCTGTGCATGCATATTTTCGCGCCAAACGGAGGCTATTAGAGAGATTCAGCGTCGCGTTTATGTGAAACGGCAGCTTGACCTTTCGTAGAATAGCATGAACCTTGCTGTTTTAGCTTCGCGTGAGTTCACGTTATAGTGGATTTGAAAGCGCCCTGGTATTACTAACAAGGAATAGTTTTTGTACCCTTTTTCCGGCGATTAACTTGTACTCTGTTAAGGAAAAAAGTGAAGAAAATCTAATGTACACAGCTAGTGTGAAAAGGTTACTTTCAAGTGCGTAGAAACGGCAAAGCACAACCGGCAAACGTGAAAAAAAAGGCGGGAAAAACAAGGTCACTTGGTCGCTCTTGCCGCTCACGTTTCACGTAAACATGGTGCTAAATCTCTCTATTGTGCATATAGCTCACCTTGGTTTCCACTCGGCATTCAGGACACGTGATTTTCTGCTTACGCCCACCAGCAGCCCTAAACACAATTCGTTGAAGGCAGTGTTCACAATAGGTGTGATGACAACGCAACATTCTAGGCTTTTGGAATGATTCCAAGCAAATTCCACATTCCAGATTTTTCTCTAGTCTGTCTTCTACCGAGGAAGCCATTTATTTCAGATTGTTCTAAACAGAGGAAAACATTTATGAAGTTCAACGAAGCTTTGATCCAGAAACCAAATACAGTCACCCAAGGTGAATGGCGCTTTAACATAGGTTGATTGCTTAATACAGATTCCACACAATAGCGGTATTATAAAAAACGATAAACAGTGCTACTTCATGTTTTATTGTTTTGTTTTGTTTTGTTTTAACGACTTGACCGGGTGTGACTTGATCCGGAAGGGTTGGTGCGAACGGAACACAAGGTCCATGCGAGGCACAACCCCTTCCCTCAAATTCACCCTGGATAGACCACAACACCGGGCACTACGTGCCCTACTCTTTTCAAGGAGTGTGTAGGTTCTTTAACGTCCCACAAATTTAAATCACACATAAGGGCTTTTGAGACGGGACCTCCATTTATCGTCCCTATCCGAGAATACTAGAGAGTCAAAGGTAAAGGTAAAGGTCTCTATTTCTCTAAACAACATACGTGTTTAGTTACAATTTTTTTAAGGTTGAAATCAGACAGGCGCCTCTGGCAGCCGTGTTTAGTCCGTAGCGATTTCACCTACCCACCCAACCCACCCCAGGGAGGACATCTATCACACAGTAATCTCGTGCGTGGGAAATTAACGTCTCCTACACCAACCCTGCAGGAGAAGGGACCTCCATTTATTCGTCCCTATTCGAGATGACTAGAATATCTAACCATTTCTTGATGTTAAAGAAAGGAAGCATATTCTTCTCAATTAATTTTAAGACCCTGAGTGTTGGTCCGGCTGGTATTGATTTCTCGACCTCCCGCACAGCAGTCCGGCGCTCTCCCAATTGAGCTAATCAGGCGGCAGTTTAACCGTTTGCAGACATTTTTTAAAGGCAGCACTTTCTACTCAGTTATTTAAAGACCCTGAGTGTTGGTCCGGCCGGATTTGAACTCTCGACCTCCCGCACAACAGTCCGGCGCTATACCAATTGAGCTAACCGGGAGGCGGTTCATGCCATAACTGACAGTTTAATGAATGTATAGAATCCCGCTTGAAAATACTACTTAGCTTGATTGAAAGATAGAAACATGTATTAAAAACTACTTAGAAGATTACTCTAGTTTTACATGTACGTATATAATTAGCTATTGTGGTTTTCGCAGAGACTACATTGTAAGGGAGACGATTTAATTATACCATCATTTACTCATTATGAATAAACATAACTCAGGGGTCCATTTTAGGACCACTTTTGTACATAATTGATATGAATACAGCTCCTAAAGCTATACACTCAAGCACCACTGTACAACTGTATGCTAATGACGTGAAATGCTTCAGAATCAGAGATAACACCAAATCATGTTCAACAATACAAAGTAACTGGTCAAATCTAAACGATTGGTCAGCTGATCACTTCATGGAGTTTAACTCAAACAAATGCAAATATCTTGGAATCACAAGGAAAAAGAATATTGCCGATTAAACCTATACACTTAATGGCTCACAGATTATGTAAGTTTCAACTGAGAAAGACCATGGTGTGCATGTTTCTACCAAGTTATCTTGGAATAATCACATCATTGACGTCATCATCAGTATTACCAACAAGATGCTGGGCATGATCAAAAGAACTTGTACCAATGAATGTGATCAGGAAACATTCATTTGATAATTTTATACCAATCACTTGTTCGATCACAGCTGGAGTATGCTTCACAGGTCTGGTCACCTTACACTAAATTAAAGATCACTGCACTTGAGCGTGTACAAAGACGTGCAACTAAATTTATCCTGAAAACTGACTTAAGCCTGAAAGGTTATATTGATTTCAATGTTTTGTCATATGTAAATTTTAAGACACCCAAATATAACATCAGAAATAGAGAAGCTACACTAGTGAAAGGCCTTTTCAAAACTGATGCTTTTAAATTTTCTTTCGTCAATTGTATTGTAGACCTGTGGAATTGCCTACCACTAGATATCAGAACAGTTGAACATTTCCCATCATTTAAGAACAGTGTTGACAAATTTTATGTTAATAAATTTAACATAAATAAGAATAGACTTTTATAATTGATTATCAATATATTGTCATGATATTCACACTATTGGAGCAAACTTGTATAATTTTTTATGTACATATATACATATATATAAATTGTGACTTGATTTTTGTAGAACAGTGCTCAATACATAGAAGTAGAGCGAAGTATATATTGTGGGAGGAAAAAGACAAGTAAACTACAAGTTCATCCCTACAAGCCTGTTTCGTGGTCGCCCACTCATCAGGGGATTTAATGAGAATAAACTTTACCATTGCTTATATACAATATAATTTGCATGATCTAACTAGTCTAATTTATGCAGCGCGAAATTGACAGTTTAGTTGTTGCGTAGGAGGGCTTTGCTTCTGTGGCGGCATGAAGACACGAGTTCATTACGTTTGTTTAGTGTTGATAGTTCGGGCCGGCAGATGATTAGGAATTTTTCTTTGAGGCAGAGGTTACATCTTTTAGTTGAGCTGTTATACGGTGAGTGCGATGAGAGAATGCGCCAGGAAATAAAGTGATCGATGTTGTTGTCTTTGAGGGTCCAGATGTGCTTGCTGAGTTCGGTAGAGTTTCTGTGTTTAGCGTGGCGGAATGATGCGGTGTGGTTTCTGTATCTTGTTTTGAAGTCATTCTCTGTGAGTCCGATGTACGTTTCTGTCGTGTTGTTGTCTTTGCGTGTAACGGAGGCTTGGTAGATTACTGATGGTTGCAGGCAGTTTCCGTCGAGCGGGCATGTGTTCTTTTGTCGGCAGTTGCATGTCTTGTTGTTATCAATGGTAGTGGCGGTGGCGG